AAACATTCTGAATTAGCTTCGAAGTAGGGAGGCTTTAATATGTCATTCTTTATAATAAAACTTTTAGTAAGCTTCGAAGGGTGCTAGAGAAGCTTTGAAGGATTCTGGAAGAGCTTCGAAGAGGTTGTTTATAATGAACATAATAGTATTGCCATGTCATTGAAGTATTACTATGATTTTTGGACACCATACGCAGTGAGTGCATGCATTTATTGATTACAAATTGATGTCTCATGTTGAAATTTTGAACTTGCCACCTAAGAAAGTACAAAGCTTCTACTCATGACTCATACCAAACATGATTGGCATGTATTGTGTCCAAATCAAATTGGTGCTTCTTAATTCAAATTGATCACTTTGAAGCACTCATACTAAATTCGAAGCATATGCCTTTAGTGTAGTGTCCCTTCGAAGCACTTCGTTGGTGCTGTTGTGATATTCAAAGCACTTTATTACTCATATTAGTTCTGTACTTGGTTCGGTTCTTCAAAAATTCAAATAAACATAATTTTTAAAGAGCCGTAGGGGGTAATGTTGGCACCATAAACAGTAATAATAATAATAATATTATTATTATAGGACATGTGATATTTTCTTGATCAATCAGGAGTAAAGAGAAGTTACAAAGTTAGTGGTCTTGCATGGTGGAACATGGAAGACAAGGTGGAAGAAGTTAAAATACATGTGAAGAATATGATGGACAAAGTGACTTAGTGGAAGACATGGAGGAATGTGTGACATTGTGGGAATGAAGGTGGAAGAGTGGGTGATTTTATGTGGTTATTGAATAGTTATTGCTGGAAGTTTTTTTTTATAAATAACCATTGATGGCTACATTTAAAAGACCCAGAACCAGATTCAGAAACCAGTTTATTTACTTTATATATTTTTTTAGTCCTTACTTTCCAGTCCTTTATTTTCTAGTACTACATTTCAAATTCCTAAGAGTAGTTCTAAGATAGTCTGTTGCTGTAACCCCTTTCAAAACTGTAAAAGTGCGAGGGTACAATTTTAAACTTTTGTTTACTTAATGAAATTTGATTTTTAACGTTGTTCTTTCCTCTTTCTTTTACTTCGATTATTCTTCTTAATTTTCTTCCAAAAATCAAGCCACTAGTAAAAGTCCTCTTCATAGAAGCTAAAAGGAACTTTGAAACAATCGTCTGACTAATTGGTTGGCATTTATTAATTTTTGTAACGACTTATTTATCCTTACAGGCACGTTCGAATTACATTTCTAACCTTTAAAAACTTAAAAAACCAACAACTATATACTTAAAGTGCTATAAAATATCTCGCGAAACCACTTATAACTTGTGTTTTTATATATATCGTTTATTTTTCTTGTTATGATTTATTATTGATTGATTAAAACTTTGTTCTTGCATAACAATAATTGAAATGAAATTTATAATGGGCCGATGGCCCGAACTGCATTACAGCCACACCAGGCCTATTACGCATGATTAGGAGTTAATGGTGTAATTTTGGCCCGACCCAATTCATGTCGGGCCTCGAGAGTTCTCGTAAAAAATCTGCCCGGCCCGACCCACGGGCCAGAAAATTAGGCCCAGGCCCAAGCCCAAGCTCAGGGATATTTGGGCTTTGGGCGAGCCAGTGGGCTGGGCCACTGGGCTCGGGCTTTGGGCAGGCTTGGGCGGGTCTAAACAATTTTTTAAATTTTTTAAAAAAATTTTCCACCAAAATTTTATTATTTTCTATTAAAAATAACACTGGGCCTCGGGTCGGGTCTTTGAGTGGGCCTTAAGCAGGCCGGGATCACGGGTCGGGTGGGCTTCAAAATGACGGCCCAGGCCTAGGCCCAGGTCCAGGCCCAAGGCCTCGGACTGGACTTAAATGAGCCGGGCCCATCTTAGGCCAGGGGTGGGTTTCGAACCGCCCACGAGCCACAGGCTATTTTTACACTTATTAGGAGTCCATGGATCTCAGAAATGATTAGAACTTGAGTTGTACATATTTGAATATTGAATTTGTAGATACTAAAAATAATACTAATTTTTAAGTTATTTATCTTTTCTCTTTACACATTTAAAATTCATACACATCCTAAATATTATCAATCATAATAGGTTCTATACAAGCCAAATTACGGTGTTAACATTTAGAGCCAAATTACAGACAATTATTACAAAAATTATCTAATAAGTTTGAAACACCACATGCCCAAGTAGCAGTCCAAATGATATGCTACAATTTATTAACTATTTCAATGGAAAAAAAATTAAGTAAACAAAACCCTGTCTCCCTGCTAGAGTTTGGGCTATAAAAACATGTGGCTATTTCTTGCCATCGATCAAAAACCAGATAACAAAAACAAAAACAAAAACAAAATAATACCAAACAGGTCCTTAACTTTTTAGTTGAACATCCTACAATCTTGAGAGAGACACACACCCAAAAAAAAAACTTCCATTTTCATCAGAGATTAAAAAAAAAAAAAAGTTGAAGATTCCAGATTGCTCAGCTATAAAGCAGGAGTATTTCGAAAAACATGTCGTACCCGTATCGGGTATTTATCGGCGTATGGTACGTCGTATGGTTACTTCTGCATACGTACCGGGTACATAAAGCGCGTATTTTATTTTTTTCTTCTTAATTTTTGACATACCCAGACGTATCTACTATATACCCAAGCCGTACTGTATGTCAGTTGAAACAATATTTTCTTCTACTACAGAAATAAAACTCATTTTATTAGACTTCTTTTTTATTTTTAATTTTATACTTAACATATTTTTAAAGTTAAACTGTGGTTTGTAAGTTATTTTAATATATTGAAATTTAATTTTGATTTATATCACTATTTTTGGTATTAAATGTTAGGGCAAATTACATATACACCCCTCGAGGTTTGGCTAAATTACAGATGCCCCCCTGAGGTTTGAGAAATTACGAATTCCCCCCTGAATGCTATATTTGCATAAGAAATTAGGGGGTAATTTGTTATGAAATATAAACCTCAGGGGGCAAATTGTTATGAAAATACAAACCTCAGGGGGCGGGATGTAATTTCCGAAACCTCAGGGGAGTATCTGTAATTTAGCCAAACCTCGAGGGGTGTATATGTAATTTGCCCTAAATGTTAATTGTAGGTTAAATCTTAACAAATTAAACCATTTAATTAATTTTTACATTACTCTAAATTAAAAATAAATATTTTTTTATAAACGTATCAAGTCGTACTCGTATCTTACTTTTTTTAAATTTTATCATATCTACATATTTATATCATACCAATAACAGTACTCGTACCCGTACCTGTTCTTCGTAGCTGCTCAGCTAGTGAAATCTAGTAGTGGTTCTACTTAAAAGAGTGAGTGGTCAAACCCCCTTCATTCTTGATTTGAAAGTTCATGAAATGGAGAAAGTTAAAATTTGTTTTGAAATTAAATAAAAATTATAAATTTTTTTATCAAAATTTTTAAAATCAACAAAATATACCAATCAATTCACAGATTTATGTAATGGGTAATTGAAAGTTTTATGGGCTGATTTATTTATTTTTAAAAAAATGAGTTAGACCTCTAAAAAAAGAGTTTTAATAAAATAATATTTTATCTTTCTTTTCCTTATATTTTGTTTTTTATCTCAATATTTTTTTTTATATGCGCGTCAGCTCATTAAAATTAATGCAGTGCAGCTCTAATTAAAGCCCTCCAGCAGTGCTGTTATTTTTTTTCCCTAAGAATTTAGGTGGGCAGTACCAATCAATTTCACTGAGATTGTCGGTTGAACCTAGTTGGACGGCCTCCACTACATCATGATTGGGACAAAGCACCTATGATCATGGCCCAAAAAAACACAGATGATGCAAGTTGGAGACAAAACACCAATAAAGCTATGTTCGGTTGTTAAGCCCAAAAAACGAAGGTTATTTTTGTCATCTAAAACCTCAATGGTTTGCTAACAAAAAAAAGGTTTAATAGTATCATCATAATAAAACTTAAAAGGGGTTAAGTATTGCCTTTTTAAATATTGGGGGAGCAACTTAGACGCAGGTCAAAATTGAAGGAGATTTATTTTAATTTCTTCTCTATTTTTTTTTTTTTTTTGTGGGCAAAAACATGTTTTCTCTCTAGGAGAGGCAATTGTAGATTAACTAGTCAGTAAGAAGTTAAAAAAATTTATGTGAATTTTGATATGGACAGTTACATGAGACAAAAACGCACTGAAGTTGATTTTAGTATATTTTGAATTTTTTTTTTTAAAAAGCATGACAAACTTTTTTTTTTTTTTGTTACAGGAAAATCCTCCCACTCTCTCGCAGGTCCAAGGCAGAGCGCCCCTTAAGGAGATCACTAGGGTGTCCTGTTGTTCGTTCCGAGTAAGAGACTATAACCTGGAAGCTTTTTCCCGAGGAGATCACCAGGGTGTCCTGTTGTTCGTTCCGAGTAAGAGATTATAACCTGGAAGCTTGTCCCGACCTCCTAAGGCAAGCTTCGCTTTAGTCAGGACTCGCACAGCGGGGCAGAATTAAACCCACACCAAGTAGCTGATAAGACATTCTTGAGGTCAACCTCCTAACCAACTGTGCTACACTCAGGAGATTGGCCCAGAGAAGAGTTGAACCCAAGACCTAGGGGCTTAAACCCCAGGCCATTACCAAATTGCCACTCACCCCTGGGTTATGACAAATGTATACCAACTCAACTCAGGCTTTGTATAATAGAATAAACTAGCCATTGTTTACACACGCACTGTATTCGTCATCATTGCATTTTTTTTTCAACTGTGATAGAGACCATTAAGTGTAGAGCTCGAAATAAAGCTCTACATAGTTGGTAGGAGCAAAAATTAAAAAAGAAAAAGAAAAAAAAAGAGAAAAAAGACAAATTAGAGCTACTAGAGCTTCTAATTTAGAGGTTTCGAACATTTTTGTGTTTTTTTTTTTTCAAACTCAACAAAAAGATCGGATTGATTAACCATGTTTCCCCATCTAAAAATAAAACCCATGTTCCCATCTTTTCTCCGAGTACGCATGAAGAGAAATTATTTGATAATTATGGGGGTAGTTTAGGTACACCGCAGTAGTTTCCTGTAAACAATGCTACAGCATTAATATTAGTGGCAGGGTCCAGATTGCCAAATGAATTGATTATTCGTAATAAATATATATCAGTTCATAAATAAGAAAATGAAAACACAACTTAGCATTTGAAGATGAATCATCAACGCTTGAAAGTAGATTCATTCATTCAGTAGCGAGAGAGAGAGAGAGAAACTTGGGGTGTCATTCAGTAGATTCATTTCTTGTCGAAAAGGCCTCCTAAGCCTCCAAAGCCACCATTCTTCTTCTTGGGAGGAACCGCCACAACATTCTTGCGGCCGCCATTCTTCTCCTCCACCTTCTTCAGGATGGGGTCGGTCTCCAGCATCTGATCTTCCTTCGCTAACCCCCCAAGAATGAAGTCCAGGAGGCTCTTCTCCTCACTTCCGCCGGAGCTCTTGGCTGCTGTCGCAGCATACACTCTTCCGGTGGTCACTGCTGGCGAAAAGAATATGTTCAATGAAGCCATCTCACTACAGCTAAACTCTCTTCTCTTCTCTCTCTCACTCTCCTAACTCAGGCTCCACAAAAGCTAAGAACCAATAGTGAAGGGAAAGCAATGTGGCTGAGAATAAAACAATCCTTTTGGCCCCTTTTGAATCAGTGTGAGCCGTCGGATGGAGGTTGAGATTGTGATGAAGTGTTTCCACCACGAGCTCTCCTCAAGTGTCTTATCCTGATTTTTCTTTTTCTTTCTTTTCTCTTGGGTTAATAATTTCACAAGGTGGGGAAAAAGGGCTCATCCTAAAGGTCTGGCGGCATGGCTATGAGCTTGACACGTGGCATCCTAACAACCCCTTGCATTTATCTGGACAGTGTGCTATTATAATTTAATTCCACAGCCAAGCCTCAAATTTCTATGCAAGTTGATGAATGTCAATAAAAAAATCTCCAACACATTTATCAAAAGACTGGGGCAGAAGTTAATTTTTGTTTTTTGTTTTTTGTTTTTTTATAACTTTTTTGCCTTTTAGAGCCAACTCACGCATATGGTTTTCACGAAGATTAGTTTCAAGTAGAGTAGAGAAAAATTTACAAAAAAAATTACCAAGACCTTGGAATTTTTACCATATATTCAACAATGACCACCTTCAGGTTGGCCTTTAGGTATGACATGAACATCTTTTAATGGCCCTCAATATCCAATGTCACATATGACCACACCAAAAGAGGAAGTGAAATTTATGATGAACCGAACAATAGAGTCACCTAATTCAGGTAAGACATGTTTGCTTCTCCCACAATACTCTTAACCCTATCATAAATAGAACAGTTATTGGTCGTCCTAGGTAAATTCATGTGGTGCCCCAACTTGATTGTTATTGGTTTATATAGTTTGAGGTCTACTACTTTCATGTTAGTGTTTTGGCAGACAATATGGAAGGTTTTAATTGATAAATGATGTAAAATAATATTCCAAAAGTACTTAATAATTTCTCGGAAACAATAAAAAAGATGACTACAATGCAGTGGTCGAAGAGAAATAGGTATGCATGACTTTGGTTACTAGCGACTCAAAAGTGCATTGCAAACCTACAACTAAGTCGTCCTCCTTAATAGGCTGCATGAGTGGAAAATCGATTATTCTCAATAAAAACTGCTAGCCTACTGACCCACTTTGACTTGTGTAGTTTGAGAAGTTGAGTAGGGTAAGTTGGGGGCAATTAGGTGAAAAAAATGTGTGGATCAATTAAATGACTGCTTAAATTTTTCTTTATGAAACTATAGTGCTATCACACATTATCCCAACAAAAAAAAATATTTGATTGGAAATTGGCAGAAAAGCACAATATAACCTAAAAGTTAGAGGTTGGCCAAAAAATTAGCTAGAATAAAATGAAGTGAGCATGACACCAACTAGTTTTCTCCTAAAATAGTATGTAGCTAGCTAGTACAGAATGATAATTAGGTTCTTGTAAAGAACAGAAAACATGTAATCCTATTTATAGTTTTATTAGAAAAAACGTTTTGCACGATTTTAAAAAATTTACTGGCTTTTGAGCACCCTCCGGATAGGTATTGAGCAGCCCCCTCTGGATTTCTATTTTGTATAAACCTGTAGAGCTAAAGTGCACCCGCTCAAGTGGCCATCAAGCACCCTTTGAGCAAGGTGTCTGCAATTGTCCAATAACCCGTGATTTTCACATATTAAAATCCTATAGTGCATACAACTTAGTATCAGCCAGCAAAGGTGTATTTTAAACATCAAAGCAAGTGTCTTAGACTAATGCAACATGCTCAATGCAAGATGATTGTATAGTCTCTAAACGTCTTCAATCTTCAAAATTCAGAAACTCTAACCTATACTCTCAACCTAGATACCTTAACATAAGTTTTCTTTATGGAAATTATCAGCACACTATCACTTAACATTATGCTCTCCTCTTCTTTCCATCTCAGTTTCTCACTTCTTATTAGTTCTTCGGTTGTAGAGTTTCTCCTTTGTTTTTCCCTTTCTCCTTTCTCTCATCCAGTTTTATTCACTGTGCTTTTGTTGCCTATTTCAAGGTCACATGGACATTTTAAAACACACCAACCTCTTTTGTTTTACAAAACATAACCGTAGCATTGGTTTTCTTGAGCTGAAAGGGCCTTCGGTTGATTGATACTTCTGTTCCATGCACCAGATTTGACTTGTTATTAGATTGTGGTTTAATTATGGTAATTCTATTGTTTGAATATTCTCTGCAGAATTATTGAGGCTGTGTTTAGATTTTCTAGTTTTGGGAGAATATTTCATGCTTCATTGTCAGGTTAATTTGATCATGCTTATATTATAATAAAGTTCTCTACCATTTTTTAGAGTTAATTAAATGGACACCACTTCAATTATCACTGAAATCACTTAAGCCCCTCAACTAAAAAATCATACATTTGGACTGCACGACTACAAAAACCATAAAAATTCTCCCCTTTTGGCGAGGTGAAAATGATAGAAACGAAAGAAAACAGCTAAACGAAAAGTCTCAATTCAACCACATCATTCTATATAAATTTGTGTATATCCACAACTCTCCTTTCTCTGGATTTGGAATGGGTAGTGCAGTGCAAAAGATAGAGACAAAAAGCACAACATAGGCAGAGTTACCAAACAGATAAACTCACAAACAGTCAATAGCATACATACATGTAGGTTTGAGGTTGCAATGCAAGACACCACCAAATAGTTAGACACAACACAATGCAATTCTAATCATAAGATCTTCAAAATAGATGATTAGTGACAAAATTCAAAATTAAACACATCAGATTGCAATGAAATCAGAGTTCAACTACTCTGCCTCGGGAGCGAGGAGACGGTGCAATTATTGGGCTTATTCTTAAATCGGGCTTGAGCTGTTCTCTGCTCACAACTTTTTAAGGTGATGAGGCCCAAAAGCCCATAAATGATATGAGTGTTACCACCTTCTGGGCTCAAATCCCACATGTTTTGAAGAGGATTTTGTTTCTTTTTTCAAGAGTCATGCTATGGATCTTGTTATGATATCTATCTATACTATTCTATAAAATGAACAAGTCACTTGATATCCAAACTTTCCTTATTTCTCTTTATGCCATGTATCAATTTTGGATTTATTGAAGAATACTCTTACCACTTGAGTAACATACAATATATAATAAATATTTTATTTTATTTTTATTTATTTGAATTACACACGCATCACGTGTGCCAATAGCTAGTACTATTATTAAATGAAGACTGGTCTTGATGTCCAAGTCTTTAATTGCTTCTCGGCGTCCGATGTGTCTCCAATTTTTCTAGATAAAATTAAAAAAAAAATAAATTATAACTGCTGTCGTTTAACTAGCACACTATATATAATAAATATTTTATTTTATTCTAGTTTTGAATGTGCATGTGACACCCTAAAATATATTTACTTAATCTTTGAAAAAAAAATGTAATTACAATATTTTTTGGGCCATAATAGAACATAGGGAACTTGTGCGTAGTTATTCTAGAAACCTCATGGTTGGCATGGTGAGCTATGTGGTTTCAGTGCTGCACAATACAACATAGTGCTGCATAGTAAGGGTCTTCTCACCTATAAATAGATAAGTTGCATGGTAATGAAATCATAAGAATAACAAACGAGGGGACTATGAGAGAGTGAGCCAAAGTCAGAAGTAAGAGTAAATGATCAATTTTGAGGTGAGTTGTACTCCTTCCGTCTCAAAATATTAGTTTCTTATTCCATTTTTTATTGTTTCAAAATATTAGTCCCTTTTCAAAATCAAAGTCTAAAATAATATGAATTTTCTATTTTATCCTTCTTTTAAATTCATTAAAATCACAAAAAGTATAATTATGATAATTGATATTCTCCAATAAATATATTATCAAAGGGTAATTTTGGAAAAATCAATATTTTGAAAGTGCAATAATTCTACTACCAAAAAAAGTTAGAGTTTCCAAAAGGGACAATTATTTTGGGACGGAGGGAGTATCATATTTTGAGCTACCATAAATTATTTTTATAAATTATGTTTTGTAAATCATATTTGTTAAATGAACCTTATTTGCTACAAAGGGAAACCCATGGATAAAATTGTTTATTAAATGTATTTTGCATAATTATTTTGTAAGTATCACCAGGGAGGTCTCATGCCTTGGGGAACTTAAATAACTATTGGCTCTCTGAATTGTCACTTTAAGTGACCCTCTGTTGTCATGGATCCACTGACCCTCTGATTTCTGGTATGGAGCAAAGTGCTATGCGGAGCTAAGGGCTACTGTACCTTGTTTTTTGTGCTCCTTTCGGATACAATAGCCCTACAGTTCAGACTCCCGTGGTTTTGAATCTAACTCCATAAGTGCAATGTGAAATAGATAAACACAAATGAGTCCAAATTAGGCAAATCGTTTGGAAAATTGATTTTGAATAAAAAATGTCAAAAATGGACTGTTTTGCCAAATTACATAGTCGCCAACTAAATATTTTTGGAAAATTTAGGAAACCAGAGACTCATGCCAAAGGCCACTTATCCGTCATCACCAAAGTGTCTTGGCTCAGGAACTTAGATATGAGAGGAGAAGGTCATGAATTGAGCACCCCACTCACCCGATCAATGATCGGTCTCTACTAATCATGATGTGATTATTATTTACATTATATGCTCTTGTTCCGGTTATTAGGCTAACTTACTACGTGTTGCACACAAGTATAGACTAATTTGCAAAAGTTGAAACACTTTAATTTTCATGTTTGTTTGAAAATTGGTTTTGAATATGTACCACTTGAAAAAGTGATCCCATATGTACATTTGATCAAATAATCCTAATTTGAGCAATTAGCCTTTATCCACAAGCATTCAAACAAGTGTATCAATTAAGCACTTAGCCTCATGAAAAACATGCTTGATATGGCAACAATCACACACATGCGATATGTTAAAGCAATAAATGCTTATCCCAATGAGTTTGGCATTCTCGGAGGTGGTAACCTGGATGCCAAGGTCCTGTCGAGGTTTTCTTTTTCTTTCGCTTTTGAGTCTGTTGTAACAAAAAAGTCGAACCTTATGAATGAGAACTCCGCAGATTCTGTGTACCTCTTTGTGCCACTAGTTTATTGCATTGACCATGATTTTCAGAATTTTAATGAAAACGAAGAGGAAGAAATTCCTTTGGCGTTGAAAAACTTGATTAATCGAG